TGGTAAAATGATCATAAGTTTAGGACAAAATCGTTTTTTTTTTTTCCTTCCTTCTCTTTACTACTTAAGGGTTATTCTGTTGATGTAGCAGTTGCTTTTGTTTTCAAAAACAAAACTAAACATGTTATTTAAACACCCCAATAGTAATTCTTTCAGTACCCATAATCCCTAGCTGGTAGGACCGCCCAGCACACAAATTTGCCAGGCCCAAATCTAGCTTTTTCAACCGAGGCCCAGCCCATAAGTAGACATGAGACTTCGAATATCAATCATTACCTGATCATCCCGTGTACATAAATTAATATGTCCTTTAATTAATTTGTGTTTATTATATAATGCGATGTTACATGTTAAAGAGAATCACGACACGAATGCAAGAAAAAAAAAAAAAGTGATTAAATTGTTATCAATCCAAATTCCAAAATTCCAAACTCTTAGCGGGTAGATTAAGCAAAATAAATACGCGGCATCTAAAACATTGACCTGTTTAACATGTGTATTAATTGTACAACAAATCGTAGTAACCCAACACATCAAACCGACGCCTCCAAGTCAAAAATACGAGTAGGAAATTAGCTGGGTGCGTGGTGGCCCTCCAAAATATAAAATTGAATGAACTCCACACCCACCCACCTTTAATTAAGCAGGGATTCTCTTACTGATTACAGACACTATGCAAACTTCAAATTAAGGGCTTTCAAACAATCCGATTAATTAGTAAGCTAGCTTGGAAATCTCAACAGATTAGACAACTGATGAACTCTTTTGTCATTTTTCTTTAGCTAATATGTCTTTATTAGATTGACAATTGCTGATTCCCGGAAGCTGAAATGTTGAAGTTAGACCATTTACAAATTCATTGACTTGGAACCAAGTGTTTTAATCAGATAGGAACAGGTTATCAACCAAATCTGGATGCAAGGTAAGAACTAGTTACTAGCATAGGCCGGTTTTAGCTTGTTTTGGACCCATCCAATTGGTGGACCATGATTCTGCCACGTGGCTAGTTCTGCACCGGTACCTATAATTTGAGTTAACTATATATGGCCTCAGACCCAAGAGACACTGCCATATTATATAACTTATGTCATGTTGACTTTTTGGATGATCCGTAATTGCGCTGTCTGTATATATATATATATATATATATATATATATATATATATAACCATGTCTTAATTGGATGTTTTAGTCAATAAATGAAGATTAATTATTCTAAGATGGTTACGTAGTGGGCCGAGACCTCAACCTCCTCAAGTGTTTGTTTTAAAATTTAAATTGCTTTGCCCGGGGAAGCAAGTGGGCGGTGGTGTTATTGGCAGTTGGGTTCTCATAAGATAAAAGCAACTGGAGCTTATGTTATGGCATGGCACCTAATTGTTCTATTTAGCCCAATGGGCTCATCTCAGTTGTCCAGAGTCAAATAAAATGTATTGAGGTCATCAGTGGTGGGCTGAATTTCCTCAGCTGGATGCATGAGAATCTCTTCTCTTACTGCATGGGACTGCTGGGTTTTGTGAGAGCTCAGGTCATGATTGATATTTTGTATTCAACAAATTAAGCCTTAGAAGGAGCAAATTAAATTAATTAGATTTAGTGAAGATACTAATCAATTATCGTAATAGAATCACATTAGTTAATTATTAATTAGCAGGGAGATCATCATTGATGTGAAGTATTACTAGAGAATATTCGAATGACGCACTTCTAGCTGCTGAGCGTTTTCGGCTTAATTGTAGGTTAGTTATGTATTCATTTTATTTTAATTCAACGGATGGGTAGTAGTAGGTACTTGGCAAGTATGAAGACTTGAAAAATGACTCAATGTGTGTGTGGATGAGGATGACATCGAACAAACCAAATTGAAAAATGAAAATTCCAGCATCCGACTTTTTGGTAGGTAACGTAGTTAAGCTTTATTTAGGAACACTAATTAAAAAATATTAAGGTATTATATATACACCGATATCAAGAAGCAGCCATGACATGAAGAACCTAAGCTATGGCCACATATTCTACTGAATAAAACATAATAATTCAGAAACCAAACAAGTCCCCAATTAATTAATATTAAGGCATTTAATAAGGAGAGAATCTTCATTGAGACTTGAGAGAGAGTGAGAGAGAAAAGGAAAGTTCGAGGAAGAAAAGTAAAGGAGGAAGAAGAAAAAGCTTGCGTGAGGTGAGAGTAGTCATTCACTAGGCCTAGGGCTTGACTCTATGACACCATTTTTTCTAAGTAAGCACTCTTTCTTGTCGTCACGCGATGCAAAAGCAAATAGATGAAATGGGCATCTGGCCATGATGATGATGATGATAAAAACTAAAAAGCATGTTTTGTCACTAAAACACTCCACAAATTAAAATCCAAAATAAATAAAAGCCGCCTCCACAGGCTACAAGGCTTTGAATTCTAATTGTTGATCGAATCAAATATGCCAAGAGTTGTAGAGTCTAGAGATCGTACCACGCGGTTATCACCTTTCTTGGTGCCTACTTCTAATTTCAAATTCCATTTGTCTGAATTTTGATTCGCTCTCATAGATGAAATATGTCATAAGCACAAGTACAGAGGTCATTTCATTAGTCGTAAAGGTGATATCTGAATAGTTGGTAATATTGGTCGTCGGAGAGTGTCGGAGACGCCGCCGCCTGTGTCCAAATAGTCTCTTTCCGAACAAATTAGAAGAAGAAAATGAAAGAAGCAGAAGCAGCTAATTAAGAAAGAGAATATGATTTTAATTAATTAGTCACATTAATTTTAACAATTAGATCGAATATTCATGATCATTAATTTAAACAATGAACCATAAGATGACAAGTGGATTTTTCTCTGCAGCTTAATTTGTAACGAATTAAGCAATACACACTCATTTACACAAATTTATGTGTATTTTTAATTACTCTCTTAGCCTTGCGATTCCCAGTCTAATTAATTAAGTTAGCGATATTACTTAATTCCTGAATTCTTTAGTTTAACTTGAAGCATACTTGCGATTATCGTAGTGCATGTCTATAAAATTATTTATTTCTAGAGAGAACAACCTTTGATGTTGATCAAAGAGATTCGTGCTGTCTATCCATCCCGCCACAACGTATGCGTAGTAGATAGGTGGGATAAGGAAGATGAGGATGCTACTCAGATTCCTACAAATTTTTAATCTACTGTTTCACAAGTCATACAAGCCTTCTCTCGTGGGTCTACCGTAACATCTCTGCTATACCATTTAGCAGGATAAATATCATCATCTCTATTTAATAAATCTAATCTTAATAGAATGGATTGTTACTGAGACAATATATATATATATATATATATATATATCATGATGATGATGATGTGCTTAAAGTCTAGGGTGTTTAGACCGTGAAGACATTTTTCTCAATGGTGACATATGGCTTCCATGTATGTGATTCATATTACCAAAGAACGACCAATATAGATATATATATATATATTATTTGTCTATAGTAATGTTGCAAACAAGAACACTTGCTTGCTGTAGAGTCATTTGCCCCCACAATTAGAGTTTACATGGATTAAGCCATATAAAGGGTTCCTTTATTGATAATTATCAATACCAAATACCAGCCTAAAACCTTCACCAAACTAATGGATCACACCTAGTTTGTAAAATACTTTGTTAGCAGAGGCTGTTTGATAAAAGCTGAAATAATTGCTGAATCGAATGGTTTATTGTTTTGTTTGTTAGTGAATAAAATGTTTATGAATATAATAATCTATCCAATTTCAGCTTCAGTCATTAAGGAAGCCACAACCTATTTCATAATAACTTATTCACTAAGGCGCAGTTTGGGTAGACTTGTACACTTGTATTTTTAACAGCTCTGAAGTATAAAATATAATAATTGTTTTTACATTGGTGTTTTTGTTTTGAAAACCGTTTGGTAAAAAATTTTGTAAAGTATGTTTTCCGGAACAAAAGAATCATTTCCTATTTGGTAAAAGCATGTTCTTCCATGCTTTTGGTGAGGGTTTCTGGTGATTTGGTGGTTGAGATGGTGATGGCAATGTAACTCTAATAGCGGCAAACGGAGATAGGGCCAAGAGTTGGATCAGAGGGTGGTCACGTGTGACCACGAAAACAAAAGTATTATTTTGCCAAAAGCACATTGTATAAAAACAGAAACACAAAATATACAATACAAACACTATATGGTACTTTTTGTGCTTTTATACTTTCAAGAATACAAAAGTACTTTATAAAAACCTATTCAAACAGGGCCTAAAAATCAAAATAATAAGTTTTTCGGTTCATCCACTTCAACTATTTATCAAACTGCCCCTAAGTTGCTCTTTAAAGTTATCTAAGAAAATATCATGTCTTCCCAAAGTGTGATTTTTGATGTCGAAATGGACGGTGAATGCATGGGCCATACTGTTATTATATTTTAAGAGGTGAAAATACATCTTTCCTTACAAAACATGGTCTTGCAAATTATGATCAATCGCGTGGTCAAAGCACGTTGGGGGTATTTATTTTTGAACCCTTAAGCCGTGTTTGGTTTAATATAGAAAATAAGAGTGAAACATTTACTTGTCTTATTTTGTAAAAAACTCTTATTTTCTACCAAACCAAACATAGTCTTAGATGAAAACATAATTAATTCCTGTTTCTTTATGTATGTATGTATGTATAGAAAATGTGCTCATGACTCTCCAATGACCATTTGGGCGAAGTTTCTAAGAAACGCCACATACCTTTGTGGTTATGGGTTAGCGTCTGATGGGGACGTTTACTTCAGCTTTGAATTGGCCGTCCCATGCAACTTTCGTGACCAGTGACCAGTGACCAGCCCCACAAGAAAACAGTTTTGCTGAGCGCATCTATCCTCTTCATTTATGCATTATTCACCAAAATTTATCTATTAACAAATTAAAAAATAAGGGTTAATCCAGACCCAGAACCAAAGTACTATATATCAAGTTCCACCATGAAAACATTATGCAAAAGAAAACCCACAAGTACTGATGAACTTTATCTATATACCTAAAAGCAAAATCCAGTTCCATTCATGATTTAAATGTCATTTGCATAATAATGTCTTCTAACTATCAACACAATCAAGATCCTATTAACAAAACACATCTAAAAAATAATAAAAACTACTATGCTGTGTGTTACTATTTCTCATCACTTGATCTTTCGATGTTTGTCTTTTTCAACTATTTCAATGAAACACTTTGATACAGCCCCTGGGGTTTTGTCTCATAAACTGTAGCCAATAAATTTGTATATGTAGTGTTGGCTAAATATGGAGTTGCTTCGTCGACATTGTATTTCTCTTGAAATCCAAATCCATTGAGAAGATGATACGGAGATGACCCAAAATCCATAAACAACCCATACTGATCATCACCACCGCCATTGCCGGACCATGTGCCGTAGCCGTTCTCCATGCCCACAGACGGTGAGGCTGAAAGACCAGAAACATCTTGAGATGATGTAACACTGTAACTGTTGTTTCTGCTGGTTCCTAATTCCGATGGTTCCATGAGTCCCGCCGGCAGAGACAAGTGGGTTGGGTCGGGAATCTTTCTGTTGGAGTTCACGTCGTGTCCTAACCCACCTCCAGTCGAAAAAGGTAGTACTGTTGTAGAGCTTGTGTTGAGAAAAGTGGAGAAGTCATAATCGAAAGTTTCGGTTTTAGTAGTTAGACAAGTAGAAGAAGATGGTGTGGAACTGAAGTCCATGTTGTTATTATTGGCTTTATTGCTATTGACGGTGGTTGTGATGCTGCTGTTGCTGTTGAGGCCGTTCTTCTTTGCCAGCCACTTCTTCTTCAACTTGGTATTCCAGTAATTCTTCACATCGTTGTCTGTTCTTCCGGGCAGTTGGGATGCTATCACAGACCACCTAATTAAGCCAAATACAGAAGATAATAAATAAACAAATAGATAAATTCAATTACACTAACTACAAGTAATTTTTTTTTTAAACAATGCTACAAGAGAAAGAAAGTAACAAATAATTTTTTTTTTTTTTTTTTGAAAAAAGAAGACTTGATTTAACCTGCCTGCTTCCTATGCTATTGTAGAGAGTACATATTATGTTATCTTCCTCTTCAGTAAAACCTCCATGTTTGATGTCTGGTCTGAGATAATTGAGCCATCTCAAACGGCAGCTCTTGCCACAACGTCTAAGGCCTGAAATAGGAAATGAGATCCTTTAAGTAAAAACTGGAACGAAACAAAATGAAAGAAAGCAATCTATTTTGGAGAGACAAGAAAACAACATTTGTGAAATTGATAGGGAGGATTGGATGAAACACAAATTAAATTCTAGATACTCGGAGAAAATCGGATGGGAGAGACCAATGCAAACTAAGAACTGGGTTTCGGAAAATCGGATCAATGCAACTCATGAGTATATATAAACCCACCCTATCTTTTTGTTTTTTTCCAGTGGAAGAAACTAAATTAAGCAAGATAAAATAAATCGCATAAATAATGAAATGGATTTACGCTTTAGAATAAATTGCACAAGTAAAATGAAGATTTCAGAAAGAAAAAAATGCAATTTGGGTAATAGGAATTGAGTCAATTTGCTTTAGGAAAATAGAACAAAACGCCCTCGGTGGATGTTGGAGAGAAAAATAGAGAAATCAAGAACTGGGAGCATGAGAAGTGTGTAAATTAAGAAACGGATCGAAAACAGAACACCATTGCCATTCCATGTTAGTGAGAAGGGGGAAGATTGTGAAGTGTGTAAGCAAAGCTTGATTTAGGATACAGAGAAGAGAAAAGCATTAGTTGATGTCGTTTTGAAATGGGAAAGGATGAAATTGATGAAATGGATTGAAAGCATGAGAGAGAGAGAGAGAGAGAGAGAGAAAGAGACCTGCTTTCTGGGGTAAAGCGATCCAGTTACCACCAGTGCCATATTTCTCAACGTAGTTCTTGAGAGCAGTATCTTCTTCAGGGGACCATGGGCCTCTCTTGACATTGGCTTTGTCGCAGCAAGGAGCTCGTCCCATGGTTACTAGCTTAATTAGCTCTCACTGAGAGATGATAATATATCCGATGCCCGGTGGAGTGGAAATCACTCAAATCAGAGCTCCTTACCCCTTTGTATGTATATTTCCTGGCCGGAGAGACGGAATCGGGGTGTTGGCAGTTTTAAAGATAAAAGAGCTTTTAACAAGCTTGACTACGTACTACCACCACCTATTATTTTATTCTTTTGTATAATTTTTTTTTTCCGGTTGGGCAGGCTGCAGAGCCCAGTCAACCGCATGGTACATGAAATAAAAAGTAACGCTTCTTTCTTTCTTTCACTCATACAAGTTCTGGAGTCAGATTTAATTTTTGTTTTACCGCGTCTCAGACTGGGAGAGGCAGTGCCAGTGATTGAATGGGACAATGCACGACTCATCTAAAACCAAATTGATTTGAGCCTCAGATTTTTATCATGATATTCATTGCACTTTCTTTATCAATCAAATTGGCTGTTTCTGTTTTGGTCATGTGCTTTTTAAGCTCATGTATTGTGTCTTACTCTTTAATTAGGAATAGGGGTTCTAGCTGTTCGGTATACTGATCCACCTTCACCTCCATACATACTCCTTCAAATACTCTCTCTCTCTCTCTCTCTCTCTCTCTTGCCTGCAGCAGTACTCAGTAGTAGTACCACAGTACCAGTGGAATATTCAAGCACCCTTGTTATCAGGGGGCCTTGGTCTAGGAGTGTGGATCATCTGTGCTGTACCAACAATCAGATCCGGACATGTGTGGCCTGGGCTGAGCTCTGTGAATGAGACTGGTTGTAGGTCCTCTCCACATGTGTTTTGGAAAAATAATGTCCACATCTCATTGTATATACACAGGGGCTTTGATTTGTTTTGAAACTTCAAAGGTAAATACTAAATAATATTAATTTTTGGATATTAGACGACCCTATGCCACATTTAACCAATCTCTCTCCACTTTCTCTACAAGTGGTTGTACGACTAAGGTACTAAGCTAGCTAGGATCATATAGTCCCTTTATCTCTAAAGGATCATTAATTGAACTGGCACCGTTTGATCTGTTCTTTAGTGATTAGTTTATTCAGAAGTCCTACATATATTCAGGGTCCTTAATTTGGAAGCATATGATCAGCAGAGAGATGGGGAATGGTGTATTTCTCTCCCCTGCTTTCTCATTGACGTTTGTAAACTCTAACAGTTTTTTTTTTTTTTTAAAGCTCAATCAATGTAATTATATATTAAAGTTATATGTATATATATATATATATATACACATTGTGAATAAGGGTACTCAATCAATGATGGGTAGAAAAGTAATTTTGCATATTCAGTTTGTCAATTTGCCAGACTGTCTTATAACTAGGGGACCCTTGGAGGCAACTAATTAAAAGTTAGAAGAAACTTTTAAAGGTTGCAGATAAAGTCAAGAAAGGCTTATGTTAGATTAATGTCCCATAACAATCAGTCTAGAGACCACAGACTGACTTTATATATAGATTTAGATTAACTCCACAAAGAATTAATTAACAAAATTGTCTACAATTATAGAGGTACCAGGCCAATCATGATAAGATCCACACCACATATCTTTCTGACTAATGTGACATACATATCAGAATCAGACCAATCCAATATCTAATTCCTATACATATATAATTGGGAATGAAACCTTTGAGCCAAATAAGAGAGTAACACCTACACCACATTCCACATACCTTTTATTTTTATAATATATGAAATGATAAGGAACGAAGACTTTAGAGTTTATTGTATAAGCACTTAAAAAAAGCTAAAAATTTGAGTATAAAAAATAAGCCCTTATTTTTAAAATAAACACTTATTTCAGGCTTATTTCCCAAATACCAATAAGTGCCTAATGATCCAAATAAGCACTTATTTTTTAAACATTCCCAAACGAATTCAAATCAGTCCCCCACAATGTCCCACAGCACATCTCTGCCGTGTAATGAGAGCATCTCCCAGTGATGACATCATCATTTATGAAATTATCATCAGGAGATATTTCCAATACACAGCGGGGATGTACTGTGGGATGTTGTGGGGGGCTGATTTGGTCTCCTCCCAAACATGGCCTAAAGAAAACAAAATAGGAAGTGGATCCCTCACCTTCTATTTATAATGTTCTTATCTATATCTATATCTATATAAGAAAGAGGAGTGTAGGAAGATGAAAGGTCTCTCACCACAAGCCTCACAGCAAATCATCCCTTCACTCCTTCATACATGCGAAAAATTAAAAAATTTACTAAAAGATGAGGAGCAAAACTTTTAAATTAAGCATCTTAATTAATCTCTCACCAAAAAGTCTTCTCTAATACAATTATTTTCATATCTCTCTTTCTAACTTAAATAGTCAATGTTTATAACATCTCCTCTCCACCATTAAATCCCTCTATTTCATCTTCAATATTTTTAAAACCCTTTTAACCCTCTCAGATTGGTTGAATCTGATTAAGGGCCAATCTAAGACCAACCCTAATCATAGACCTTGGACTAGAACGAGACTAATATCAAAATCCAAATTTACCAACCCAAACCTAACCAACTTTCTATTAAACCTAAAGCTATTGTACTTAAAAAGACCAAAATTTATATACTGTTAGACAGGTCCAAGCCCTCCGTAACCTCCCACCTGTACAATACTTCCATGTTTCAAGAATTAAAATCCAACGTCCAGTCCAGTCAACGTAAAGAGACAATCTTTAACCATTTGATGTGAGCATTATCCGTCGTGAGATATTCTTATAAGTGATAACTCTGCGAGCAACCTTTTCCATTTTGTCCTGTCAGTTGGAGTTAAAATACGAGGATAGTTGGTTACCGTCTTCTACATTCTGGTACTCGGCCCAGGCAGTCTACAGGTAAAACCCATTCAATGATGGGACCTTATGCTTAAAATATGTATGGGGGCCCAAATCTATCCATGTGTCCTGGGTCCCAGCCCAACAAATTTTTAGGGAGGTTGTGGGCTCCTCAATGGCTGAACCTGAAACTGAAATTGAATAGATTATCACATCCTTGAAAACTTTATTATTTAATTATTTTAATAACTGAAATACAAGACAATAAGTCTGAACTTCAGCCATTATCGAATGACCCCTAATAAAATTATAATATTGTTGTGCAAGGGGCGGATTACCTGACCTCGGCCCATCATCCATGTGTAATTTGGGCTGGCTTCAACAAATTCAACATGATTTAACCAAACTAAATAGATTTTGGTTTTATTTTTTTTGAAAATCAATGGTTTATTTTTGTATTAACATTTTTCTCTTAAGTAACTTTTTTTTTCTGTTAACTACCACATTTAATTGCATAATATATTTTAGTTGAAAGTATATTAATAGACTGTTGTGACCAAATATCTTGGTTATCATCTATTCAATCCTTTAAAATATAAGCATTATATTTCTTTTTTTTAACTAAAATTATCCTGAAACTGATTCACCCAGAATTCTAGCAAAACTCAAGAATTCATCCGGCATTTAACCACCACCCTGAAGCTTTTTCATTTATAATTCCGCTCCAATGAAACCAGTACTTTCTAAAACTTCTTTTCTTTTGTTATAATCATCCTTTTATTAACTACACGTCAATGAACTTTTTTTCCTTTATCATACCAAAATATCCCTTATGGTTAATATTTAGGAAATAAATAATTCATAATAACAACTGATATTTGGAAGAACTAAATGGGTTCCAAATTCTCCAATATATCTTATTCCTTAAGTATTAGAAGAGCCGGTCCATTTCTTTCTACTAAAATAGCCATCTCATCCCTTATAATACTTTGTGCATCAGTTATTAATTGATAAATATTATATATGTCACAAATAAGTACACTTTTCAACATATGCATCCAAAACTAGGGAAGAATATATTCTCAAAAAATGTATGTTATGATTTATTGAGGGACGTCTAGATGCAGTGCTGATTTTGTTTGTTTGAAGTGTTTGATTGCACACTGGATAGAGTTTTCTCTCCTCCCCCCCCCCCCCAAAAAAAAAAAGAAAATCTTGAAGGGGTTTTGTTTTCAGTAAGGTCTTTTTTTTTCTGTTGATAATAGTTTAATAGAATCAATGCTTGTATCGTTTTCTATCACAAATTGCAATAAATAAATGTTTAATTTTTTGAAGGGGTCTAGGAATTAGTGTTAAGAAAATCTTGTCCTAACTTCTAACAGTCTCTTAGGCAATAGCCATGGTGGCAATGGGCCGGTGGGCCAGTGTTGTCTATAGTTATAGGGCCTGTCAGGCCTGTGGTCGTTGTTAACGCGATGCTGGAGTCTCATTCAATTTAGGTGATGGGTCTCATCTCATGACTCCTGAGTTGGACCCATCTATAGTAGGACCCACCCTAGATCCTCTCTCTCTAGAGATCGGTCATTGGACACAATGTTCCACAGTGCATCCCCACCGTGTATTGGAACATCTGCTGATGAGAATATCAGACTGGCAGACCTGATGATATCATCATCAGGAGATGATCCCAATACAAGGCGGAGATGCGCTGTGGAACGTTGTGGGGCGCAGATCTGAACGACCGTCGGAGTCGGATGCAGTGTCATTTGGACTGGACGGACCGTACAGGGAGACATATGGGGACCTTCGGGTCCTGCGGGGAAAGTTGAAACCGGAACTCGCCAATTTGGTTGTGCCACTGCCGCATGTGCATGGGACCCAAGAGTGACTACTGACTCACGTGATTCGAAAAGTGACCAAATTCTGATGAACAAAGACGAGATGACTGATAACTCCGAAGAAGATCGGGTACTGCAATGTTCACGTGCACACAGTGAGGTTCCACCATATGATGGAGAGGAACCCCACGTGGGGCTCATACAACTCTTACTTCTAATAGATTGTAGATGGGAGAGAGGGAGGGAGGGAATCCTAGGTAGCTATTGCCTATTGACCACTAGAACAAAACAAAGATTGCGGTGGCCTTATATTGAACGTTAGATCAAAGCTTCATGACATCAGTAATGGGGCCAACCAGCAATCAAGATTTAAGCGGTAGGGCTGTTCATAAGAAGGCCCAACCCGACCAATCCGATCAACCCGAACCGATCCAACCCGAGTCGGTCGGGTTTTCATCAGCATCGGTCGGTTTCGGGTTGGGCAAAATCATAAATCGATATATCGGGTCGGTTTTG